AAAATAAGATTATAATGGACATTCAACCGTTCACTGTTTTAATTATCAAACACCAAATCTGGTGCAAAGTTGAACATCCAACAATTGAAAGAAGCTGTGCTTGACAGGATAGCATGGCTAGTACTTGCCTATAAAGTCACCATAAGGAAAGTTACTTATTTCCAACCACAACATGGTTATAGGTTGTGTCAATATTTTTTCATCAAGGTGAGTCAATGTGGGCTATAAGCTCCATAAAAGGGAGGCTATTATGATGACAAAGATACAAACAGCAGCAGAAATGTGATCCCCTGCATTCAAATCCCCTGCATTATGCTCCATTAAATTGTGGTTTCACTACAACATAGTTCCATTTTATTCTACTTTGGTCGGACACCATCTCAAGTAATGTGATCAATACGAAACAGCATATTTTTAAAAAGATTCAGAGAAACTGAAATTTTCTTAGAAAAGGGCAATATAGATGATCAAAAAATTAAATTGTTTATAAACATGATACCTGAAAGAAAACGATATAGAATTTCCAATTATGTTCTCTGTTGTTTGAGTGCAGGACACAGAATGATGGATTCCAATTGAATATTAGGAGGGAAAAAAACTTCCCAACATTAGATGTGTTCAAGTCAGACAAGATAGCTATGTCTTGGGAACTGTTTAGCCTAGATTTCTGCAATAATAAAACTTCAATGCCCTTATGGATTCCTATTAATTCTAAGGCTCTACAAATCCATGTGCATGTTTTTTATATTAACACTGCAGTAGGTAGTCATTTTGGCTATTGAACTTTTCATGTTCTGGTAGATCAAAGGGTCCTTCCTCCTCCTCTTTGCAAAAAATATTTCATGTCACTGGATGAGCCCAGTTAAATCACATGGCCAGATGGCTTCAGTCTTTACAGAAGAATATTTTGAACTGCTAGGAAAAATGTTGCAGGCATACAACTTTTTTAAGGCAAATGTGGGTTTCTTTGAATTTGCCTTTAAAAAATTCAGGAATTACCACAGCATCTGTGTGGCAATGTTCAGACCAGAACAAAGGGTTGCAAGGATTTCCTTAAGCTGGTGGAAGAAAAACTAACCTAAAATAAGAAGATCAATCAGATCAATACACGTGAGCTGCTTTTCTTTAAACCCCATTAAACTAATTCAGTCTCATAGTGGAACAGTTCTTATTCGAATGCAAACAAAAACAAAAACAGAGCCATAGCCATCAACATTCAGGAATGTTGAATAAAGGTGTTGAGGAACGCCTTCAGAATGCTAATTTAAAGCAGATTCAGCCTTTTAGTGGATACGAATCATCAGATAAAAATCTTTCTCCCAGCTTTATCTTCTACTGAGTGAGTGTGAAAACCATTTTCATAGGATATAATACTAATGTCTGCAGATATTAAAAGTAAAAGGTGAAGGCTTCCCTTGCACATATGTGCTAGTCATTCCCAACTCTAAGGGATGGTGCTCATCTCCGTTTCAAAGCCAAAGAGCCAGTGCTGTCCGAAGACATCTTCATGGTCATCTGGCCAGCATGACTAAACGCCGAA